TGAATTGAGTTGAGTTGCAGTTTGTTGATGGAGCGTAGTTGCTGGGAGTTTGATCTCTGACCAGCTCTCATACCATGTTGGGCTGAGAAAAAGCCCTTAGGATCTTTTGCAGAGACTAAGTCCCAGCTTGTAGAGACTTGAGACTTGGAGTAGTGCAGCGGAAGTTGAGGCAGTTGAACCCTTGTACTAGTATGTGAGAACAAGTGATTGATTAAAGAAACAAGCATACAGCAATATATAGAAGATAAGAAAGCAGTTGTAGAATACAGTTACAGGAACGGTTTATCGAGTCGCACAGCGACTCGATTGCCGCTTCGGTTACCATCCGTGATGTTGTAACGGTCAGTCGCAACCTCCAGTTGCGACCTTTCGAGTCCTTTCGCATTCTTTGTCCGCCCCCTCGTGTAACCTCCGTTGACTCGCGTGCTCCCCTGTAATCTTCCTCGAGTACAGTGTTACACTTCAGAAACGCTTAAGTCCTTGAGATATTTCCAACAGTTGTTAGAGGGTACAACCATAATGCATATATTCCCCTTGTTCCACGTGTATTCGATCATTCATTTTACTTGACATGGTATCATTAGTAGGTAGGTCCTAACAAACTGAAAGAATGACTAGAATGTGAGAGTACAAGGCATTATAACCTAGGGGACTGTACTCTCAAAGGCACAACCCTATATGGTCTACAACATCACACACAAATCTGTTTGACACACCCCATAGACTGGATAGGGGCAGTGTCTGTTGAGAGACAAGCAACTCAGAGTGGCACAACAAGTCCAACCTCTGAGGCAAGGGTCTAAAGACCAGTTAAACAAGTACAAACCAAAGCAAGAGCAAGACCAGGCACTACTAGTCCAGCCACTGGGAGAGGCCACAAGGCCAGTCAGGGTGAAATATATATAAAGGTCTGTACATAATCAAGGCCCTAGCAAGTGAGAGGCTACAGGAACGAGACATAGCGATACACAGTGCCGCTGATGATCTTTGAGCGCAAGCGCCTTCGTAAAGATATCAGCTGTGTTGGCACCGGAGGCCAAATGTACTACGCGAGCCTAGCGGCGCTGCTTTAGCTCGAGCAGGAGGAAGTACCGTAGCTGGATGTGCTTCACTCTGGCCTCAAGTCGAGGCTTCTGACACAGGAGGATCATGGCCCTGTTGTCAGCGTACAGGACGGGGGCAGATCTAGGCCGCTCACTGAGCAAGAAAATCAGCCAGCGGAGCTCTTGTGCCGCCATAGCACCAGCGTACATCTCAGCCTTACAGCTAGACTGTGCAACAGACGACGAGCAGGTGGACCTCCACGAGATGGCACATGTACCAACGCTAAAGCAGTAGCCCTGAGAGGACCTGAGCGTCTCAGCGTTGTCCGCCCACGAAGCGTCTGTGTGTCTGGTAAGGACCACAGGCCGTCGTCCTCCTAGCACTAGCCCCATGCCCGATGTACTTGCTAGATAACGCAAAACCCTCTTAGCTGCCGACCAATGCTGTGGTCGGTGTCTGCCTGTGGCCACAAAGCGAGCCATGATGCTAAGAGAGTATGCGAGATCAGGACGAGCGCAAGTCATCAGGTACATAAGGCAACCCACGAGCTCTGCGTAAGGACCACTAGGCTCTACTGACTCCTCAGGAAGTGGAGCTGTGAGCCTGTAATCTACTCGCAAAGGTGTGGGCTGTGCGGAGGAGAACTGAAGACCGAACCTCTGAAGGACCTGGCGCACCAAGTGTGACTGGGTGAGAGTGATGGTGCGTGCTGTTCTCTCCCTGGAGACCTGGAGGCCAAGGTAGTGGCGCAGTTCTGCTAGGTCAATGCAGGTGTGTCCCTTCAGGAGCACTGCCTTCACCGAGGACAGTGCGTCCCTGTCTTCAGTGGAGAAGACCAGGTCGTCTACGTAAACAAGGATGTAGAACGGGGTCTGGCCAGCACGAACGAAGAGCGAGGGGTCTGCAGAGGACGGAAAGAACTGCAGGTCAGTAAGGGTAGCACGCAGTGTATGGTGCAACTTACGGGGCGCCTGTCGCAAGCCGTAGACTGGGCGCCACAGTAGCCACTGGGTCCCAGGAGGGAAGGTACCAATGAAGCCCTGAGGGCGGCGCAGGTAGACCTGCTCGTGTAGGCTGCCCTGAACAAACGCAGTGGAGAAGTCGACGGAGTGGATCTTGTAGTCACGCTGTGCTGCTACGTCTAGCAGCGTCCGAAGAGCAGTCATCTTCGGGGTCGGAGCGAAGGTCTGAAAGAAGTCCACCCCCTCACACTCACTGAAGCCTCTAGCCACGTAGCACGCCTTGAACACAGGCGGCTCTCCACGAGGGCGCTTCACCTTGAAGAGCCACCGGCCATCGGATACGTTTACCCCAGGTGGGGGAACTGCGTTGACGTAGGTGCCGATGGATCTCTAAGATGCCATCTCCTGCTCCATGGCAGCTATCCAATAAGACGCCCAGGGTCCCGAGATCGACTCAGCGTAAGTGCGTGGGGTCGGGATGTCGAAAGCGTCTGGGTCACCCTCAGGGACTAGCAGCATGGAACAGAGATGGGGAGCAGCCTCGGACAGGAAAGCAAGCTCGTACTGCCGGTCCTCCAGGACGACTCTGCCGAGGGCAGGAGCACCCCTGACGGACGGAGGACGAGCAGGGTCAGAGACCAGAGTAGTGGCGTAGTCAAGGCGGCGGGTAGAGGCGAAGTCAGCGACCGCAGCGACAAGAGCGTCTAGACGCAAAACAGGAACAGACAGGTCGGTAACAAGAGAGGCAAGGACCCGAGGAACAAGAGGACGAGCTGCACGAAGGTAGTCAGACAGAGGGGGAGGCGCGACATTAAGGGAGGACGGAGGAGGCGACGGCAAGAGGGGAGAACGAGACGCGTGGGAACGGAGCAACATAGGGTGAGAGCACGGAACAGGAGAGACAGGACGAGCACGAGAGGGATGGCGGGACAAGACGTGAGACGGAGGTGTCGAGTCAGGAGACAGAGGAGGAGACAGAGGAGGAGAACGCAGAGGAAGACGAGCCAGAGACGAGTCCGGAGGAGGGAACACGGGGCCGTAGACAAGAAGGGGAACCGACGGTGGAGGAGGCACAGGCGTGCGGTCAGGGGACGGAAGGCCGAGAAGGCGAAGGGCTGACACCAGCGGCGACTGCTGCTGCGGCGGCACGACGGCGACACCGGGACCGCCAGCTTCTCCACGGCCAACTCCGGAACACTCCACTCCAGCATCCCCAGATCCAGGAACCTCTCCTGCACCAGTACCACCCCCAGGCCTGCCGGGACAAGCCACGACAGGAACCCCAGGACGAGCACCCTCCTCAACACCAGCACCCCCAGGGTCGACGAACTGTTGCTGCAAGGGCTGCGACGACGGCTGCGGCGACTGCGGCTACAACGAAGGCTGCGGCGGTGGCGGCGGCTGCGAAGACGGCTGCTGCGATGACGAAAGAGGAGTCACCGGGGGAGGGGCGGGCTGTGAGGACTGTGCCGCAGGGCCACTAGAGTCAGCAGACTCCTTGACCGGGACAACCGACGGGAGGGGGATGACGTGAGGGAGGGGAGGGAGAGGAGCTGGGGCGATCGGGGGAGGGGGAACCATGAACAGGAGGGGAGTAACCGGGGGACCACGGTGGGGAAAGCGGTGGTAGAAGAAGAAGGACTCGTCAAAGGTGACGTCGCGAGAGTGAAAGAAACGGTAAGACGGCGGGTGGTAGAAGTGCAAGTCAGACGAGTCGAGGGGGAAACCGAGGAAGACACAGGGGACGGTGCGGGCAGTGAGCTTGTCCGTGCCAGAGGCACGAACATGAGCAAGGCAGCCCCAAACGTGGAACGCAGATGCGTCACCACGGGACCTGGTCCAAAGAAGGGTCGTCGAAACCTGCGGCTGCTGGGGTTGCGGCCACAGGTTAAGCTGGTGAGCGGCGTAGCGAACGGCGAACGCCAATAAAAAATGGGGTGCACCGGCATGGATCATGGAGGTACGAGCCACCTCCATGACCAAACCGATGCATCGCTCAGCGATCCCATTCTGCTGCGAGGAGTCCAGTAGGGTGAACGTCTGGGTGATGCCCTCCGCACGACAGAAACTACCAAGGACGTCGGAGACAAACTCGCCACCACGGTCGGAGTGAAGACGCAAGACAGGGAGATGGCGGTGCACTCGCGCAGAGACCAGCCATGGGATAAGAGCGTCAAGCACGTCCGCCTTCCGCTCCAGGGGAAAATCCGTGGTGTAGCGCGTGTAGTCTTCGACAAGCACGAGGAAGTAGCGCACTCGACGCGACCCATGGACCGGGGCGAGGCCCCTGACGTCGATGTACAGGGTCTATAGCGGTGCGGCGGTGGGGGGGAACGAGAAGTGAGGGGCACGGCAGAGCCGGCCCTCGACGCAGGGCGTGCACGGCGGTGCTGGGGAGAAGGGCAACTGAGGGAATGACTCTGGGAGACCTAGGACAAGACCGTGCTGAGACATGTGACGCAGACACGGGAGTGCGGGGTGACATAGACGGTGGTGCCACCGAAGTGTCAGGTGAATAAGTGACCGACACGAGCAGGCCGTAGCAACCTGGATAGACGCAGCCATCTGGGGAGACGTCCCAACCAGGGGAGGGGCGGTGTCCAGCGTGAACAGGCCAGACACCGGGTCCCGGGGGAACGTAATGAGGGGAGCACCAGTGGCGGCCTCGGTACAGACAGTGTACCGCTCGTGACCAGGAAACGTAGTGGTGACGCCAATGTCCTGGAGGCAGCCGACACCAACTAGGTTCCTAAAGAACGAGGGGATGTGCAGGTCTGTAAGGGAGCCCGAAGGAGCCGCCGGACAGGGAAGGGTGGTGGAGCTACGGGCGACTACCGGACCTGAGGAGGGGTCGGCAAGGGAAACTGCGGCGGGAGCGGCAAGCGGCGTCAGCGTAGTGGAGTCGCGAAAGAAACACCGAGAAGTGCCAGAGTCCAGGGTAAAGGAGAGCACAACAGTGGCGGCCGGGGTCGGAGTGGCGAGGGAGGAGCCAAGACTAAACAAGTCAGGGGATCCTACGCCTGAGGAAGCAGGGGAGGCCGAACTAGGCACACCTATACTAGGCAACAAGAGGTAGTAGGAACCAGTCACACTAGAGTCATACAAGGCAGAGCTAATCTCATCCATGTCCATATCAAAGATTTGAACACTACGGCGAAGCAAGCTGTGCCAGTCGGGGAGGTCAGGCTACGGGCCGAAGCGAAGACGAAATAGGTTGTCAAGGCGACGAAAACAGCGGGCGGGGGTGTGACGGCTCTTACCCCACACGGAGTCGCGGCGAGGACTTGTCTGGAGCTGGTACTGACAGCACTCGTCACCCAAACTACCACCCGACGGCACACTGCGCGCACGACCACCACGTCCACCGCCACCACCAGCGCCAGGCCACCAGGGCGGGAGACCACCAGCCCGCCGCTGCTGCTGCTGCGGCTGCTGCTGCGGCGCCTGCTGTTGCTCCTGCTGGTCCTGCTGCTCGGAGGCACCAGCCCCAGTCCCCTCATCCATACTACCAGCGGGCGGCTTGGCTCCACCACCTCCTCCACCCCCTCCTCCTTTACCGCCGCCGCGCCCATCCTTGGGGCAGCGACCTTTCCACGGACGGAACTGCGCTGCGGCGGCTGTCACCACAGCAGGCGCTGTCTCAGCGACAGCAGCAGAACCGTAAGAGAAAGTACACTGAGCGGGGGCACAACCCTGAAAGATAGTGACCGCCACAGTACCGCTAGACTGGGCGATAGAGCGCTGGCGGGTCTCCATGGCAGACAGGGTGTCGACAAAGTCAGTGAGGGTAAGGTCAGCGGAGTGGAGACTAAGGAAGTGATCGCAGGCAGTAGCAAGGCGGTCAGGAAGGCGTGTGGCAAGTAGAAAGAGGGTAGAGCAGATGGGTGGCTGAAAGACACGAATCTGGGACTCAGTGCAGGCAGCGCGCCAAGTCGCACCTAGCGTGCGCAGGTGGGCGGCCATGTTAACGACCGTGGGGAAAGACGCGAGAAAGGGAAAGACCATGGGCAGGATCAAACGACCGACTGAGGCAGCGAGTGGGGTGGAGTAGCGCAGGCCGGCTGGAAGGCGAGGCCGGCTGGGCGACGGGGCCGACGCGGCGACGGGGTTGGCTAGGTGACGAGGCCAGCTACCTGGCGGAGTCGGCTCGGCGTGGTCAGCTACGCAACGGGGTCGGCTTCGGGATGGGGCCGGCGACGGGACGAGGCCGGCTATAGGATTGGGCTGGCTAGGGGAACGGGCCGGCGGCGGGACGGGGCAGGCTACGGGGACGGGGCTGCGGGGCCGCGGGTCGACGGGGCCGCGGGGCCGCGGGTCAATGGGGCCAAGGGGCCGCTAGGGGACGGGGCCGCAGGGCTGCTGGTTGACAGGGCCGAGGGGCCGCTAGGGGACGGGGCCGCAGGTCCGCTAGGGGACGGGGCTGCGGGGCCGCTGGTCGACGGGGCCGAGGGGCCGCTAGGGGACGGGGCCGCGGGTCCGCTAGGGGACGGGGCCGCGGGGCCGCTGGTTGACGGGGCCAAGGGGCCGCTAGGTGACGGGGCCGCGGGGCCGCTGGTCGACTGGGCCGAGGGGTCGCTAGGTGACGGGTCCGCCGGGCCGCTAGGGGACGGGGCTGCGGGGCCGCTGGTCGACGGGGCCGAGGGGCCGCTAGGGGACGGGGCAGCGCGGCCGCTAGGGGACGGGGCCGCGGGGCCGCTGGTCGACGAGGCGGAGTGGCCTCTAGGGGACGGGGCAGCGGGGCCGCTAGGGGACGGGGCCGCACGGCCGCTGGTCGACGGGACCGAGTGGCCGCTAGGGGATGGGGCCGCACGGCCGCTGGTCGACGGGGCCGAGGGGCCGCTAGGGGACGCGGCCGCGGGGCTGCTGGTTGACGGGGCTGAGGGGCCGCGAAGGGACGGGGCTGCGGGGCTGCTAGGGGACGGGGCCGCGGGACCGCTGGTCGACGGGGCCGAGGGGACGCTAGGGGACGGGGCCGCAGGGCCGCTAGGGGACGGGGCCGCGGGGCCGCTAGGGGACGGGGCCGAGGGGCCGCTAGGGGACGGGGCCGCGAGGCCGCTAGGGGACGGGGCCGCGGGGCCGCTGGTCGACGGGGCCAAGGGGCCGCTAGGGGACGGGGCCGCGGGGCCGCTGGTCGACGGGGCCGAGGGGCTGCTAGGAGACGGGGCTGCATGGCTGCTAGGAGACAGGGCCGTGGGGCCGCTAGGGGATGGGGTAGGCGAGACGTCTAGGACATAACGGCGGAAGCGCTGGTGGGCGAAGGGGACCTAACCTACTCATGATACCATAACAAACTGAAAGAATTACTAGAATGTGAGAGTACAAGGCATTATAATCTAGGGGGCTGTACTCTCTAAGGCACAACCCTATATGGTCTACAACATCACACGCCAATGTGTTTGACAGGTCCACCCACCCGCTTCCGCCCCGCGCCCTAGCCTACCGCCCCTCGCTAGCCCCTCACGCCCTCGCCGCCCCTCGCGCCCTAGCTAGCTCCTTGCGCCTTAGCGGGCCCCTCGTGCCCTCGCTGGCCCCTCGAGCCGTAGCTGGCCCCTTGAGCCGTAGCCGGCCCCTCGTGCCCCAACCGGCCCCTCGCGCTGTAGCCAGCCCCATGCGCCGTAGCCGGCCCCTCCCGCTGTAGTCGGCCCCTCGCGCACCTACCGGCCCCTCGCGCCCTAGCCGGCCCCTCGCGCCTTAGCGGGCCCCTCACGCCCTTGTCGGCCCCCTGCGCCCTAGCTGGCCCCTTGCGCCCTAGCTGGCCCCTCGCGCCCACGCTGGCCCCTTACGCCCACGCTGGCCCCTCGCGCCTTCGCCGGCACCTGGCGCCCGCGCCAGCCCCTTGCGCCCTAGCTGGCCCCACGTGCCCACGCTGGCCCCTCGCGCCTTCGCCGGCACCTGGCGCCCGCGCTGGCCCCTCGCGCTCTCGCTGGCCCCTCGCACCTTCGACAGCACCTGGCGCCCACGCCGGCCCCTCGCGCCCTCGCTGGCCCCTCGCGCCTTCGCCAGCCCCTTGCGCCCGAGCCGGGCCCTTGCGCTCGCTGGCCCCTTGCGCCCTAGCAAGCCCCTAGCGCCCACGCCGGCCGCTCACGCCCTAGCTGGCTCCTCGCACCCTTGCTGGCCTCTCAAGTAGTAGCTCGGCCCTTCAGCCCTTGCCGGCCCGTCGCCCCTAGTCGTGCACCAGCCTGTCACCTCCCCGGCTCCTGCTGCGCTCTCCTAGCCCCTAGCGCTCTGCCGGCCCTTCTCGTCCCACCGGCCCTGCACGCCCCTGGCCCTCATCGGCCTCCTGCCCTGTTTTCCCCCACTGGAGCCACCTTTTGCCGAGCCGCTGAGCTGCAGAGCTGCCGTGTCGCTGTGCCGCTGTGCCGTCGAGCTGCTGTGCCGTTGTCACACTGTGCGATGGCGGACGCCGTTCTTCGCTTGGACTCTGAGGGGCACGCAATTGAATTCGCCGCCTGGCTAGTCGTCTCCGCCAGCACCTGACACATCAGCGCCAGAATGGGTACACCCTGGCTATGCATATTGATGGCTTGCTCCCCCGCCACCCTGCGCCTGATCCCCTCCCTGCTGACCCCACCACTGCTCAGAGTGAGGCCTTTGCTGCTGCTGCGCTCGCTCGTGTTGTCTCGGATTCTCGCGACGCTGTAGCGCAAATTGCCATTAGTCATGCCCTTCCCCTGTATGAGCGTCCGCGCTTCACCGCTGTCTGAGGTTAATGGAAAAGGGAGAATAGGAAACCAAATGAGATGAGATAAAAAGAGAAATGAAAATAGGAAGGAAGTAGAAAAAAGGCCAAGTGGTGTAACGGGGTCGTACTCTCACACTTCCCCCCCTCAAAGCTGGGTGGTAGAAGTAACACCCTGCTTGACAAGGTAGTCATGCAGAGGACGACGGGCGTTACCCACGTCGGACTCAGAGACCCAGCTGTCCTCAGAAGGATCATAACCATTCCAACGGATGAGAAGCTCCACGGTGCCATTCCGACGACGGCGGTGTGCGAGCACGGACTCGACCTCGTACTCGGGTTCATTCTGGACAAGGACGGGCGGTGGCGGCGGAGGTTGGCGTCCGACGAAGATCGTGTTCGGATCCCGATAGGGCTTCAGAAGTTGGACATGGAAGGCGTTGTGAATCTTCCAGGTAGCTGGCAGGCGTAAGCGGAAGGTAACAGGGGTAACCTGTGCTTCAACGAGAAAAGGCCCGCAGAAGCGAGGTCGAAGTTTAGATGGGAGATGGCTGATGTCAAGATTGCGGGTGTCAAGAAGCACCTGGTCTCCCACCGTGATGGTGTGGTCGTTGCGATGGCGATCGGCTTGGCGCTTCTGTTGCTGTTGAATGTCGAGGAGGCGCTTGTGAGTCCGATCCCAAAGCTGATGCATGGTTGTGATGAAATCATGTGCAGGTTGGATTGTAGCGGATGCTGTCGGTTTTTGTGGTGTGAGTGGGTGGCGTCCATAGCAGAGGAAGAACGGCGTCTGACCAGTAGCGGCATGTGTAGCACTGTTGTAAGCAAACTCTAGTACGGGCAGGTGTAAGTCCCATTTGGAGATCTCGTCCTTGCAGGCTGCTCGGAGGAGTTGCTCAACAATTTGGTTGAGGTGCTCGGCCTGTTCGTCTGTCTGCGGATGGTAAGCAGATGACATGGCGAGTTTGGTCCCGAGGAGAGACATAAGTTCCTTCCAAAACTTGCTGGCGAACTTAGGGTCTCGGTCGGAGATGAGTGTGGTTGGAATGCCATGCTGTGAGATGATGTATCGAACGAAGAGTTGTGCTGTTTCTTCGGTGCGTGCTGTCGTGTGTGTCGGGATGAAGTGTCCCATTTTGGAGAATTTGTCGATGACGACAAGGATGGCGTCATGACCGCTGGAGGTAGGTGGTAACCCGGTGATGAAGTCCAGGCTAACCACTTGCCATGGTTGTTGTGGGACAGGAAGAGGCTGCAGTAGTCCCGCCTTTTTCTGCTTGCTACTCTTCATCCGCTGACATGTATCACACTTGGTGACGAATTTCTGGACATCTTCTGCCAAGTGGGGCCAGTAGTAGTGCTTTGCGATACCGGTCAGCGTCTTGTTGCTACCAAAGTGTCCGGCGTAGAGGACGTCGTGGTATTCTTCGAGTAGTAACTGGCGCAAAGGAGGGTAATTGGGTACCCAGATTTTCGTTGATCCTTTCCGGTACGCGATGTCACTGTCCCACTATAGCAGATGTCGCTTTTCTACCAAGGGAATTTCGGGGTCGATGGCGTACCCGTGTATGAAGAGTCCCTTGAGGAGTGGATTCATCCCTTCGATCTGAATAGTGGCAACGTGTGCAGGTCGGCTGAGAGCATCTGCTTTGTTTTTGTGGCCGGGCTTGTACACGATGTCATAGTGGAAGTGTGTCTCGAGGAAGTCGATCCACCGGACCTGCCGCCTGGAAAGGTTGGGTTGTGTCTTCAAATATTTCAGGCTGCAGTGGTCGGTGTAGACGGTTGTTCTTCGTCCTTCGAGATAACATCTCCACGCTGTGAAGGCGATGACGATGGCAAGGGCCTCTTTGTCGTGTATCGGGTAGTTTAGTTCTGCCCCGTGCAGTTTCTTGCTTAGGTAGGCGATTGGTTGCAGTCCATTCCCCTGGTCTTGCATCAAGACTGCTCCCACTGCCTGGTCGCTGGCGTCAGCTTCGATGACGTAGTCGCGTTCGGGATCTGGCAAGATGAGTACTGGTGCGGACGTAAGTGCTTGCTTCAGCTGCTCCACGGCTTCCTGGTGCTTCGGCTCCCATTTGTAGGGCGTGTTCTTCTTCAGCAGATTCGTGAGGGGTGCTGCGATTTTCGCATACTGTGGCACGAACCTATTGTAGTAATTGGCGAAGCCTAGGAACTGCTGCAACTCCTTCACGTTCTCGGGTGTCCTCCACATACGTACGGCTTCGATCTTCTTGGGGTCGACGTGAACTCCTTGAGCGCTCACCATGTGTCCTAGGAACTGGACCTTTTCAAGGGCGAATTCGCTCTTGGACAGTTTGACGTAGAACCGTTCTCGTCGAAGAATTTCGAAGACGCGTCGCAGGTGTTTGACGTGCTGCTTCATGTCGAGCGAGTAGATGAGTATGTCGTCCAGGTACACCACCACGCACTCGTCCAAAAGTGGTCGTAGAATGTGGTTCATTTCGGCTTGGAACGTCGCTGGTGCGTTGGTGAGTCCGAATGGCATTACCAAATACTCGTATGATCCATACCGAGTTCGGAAAGCAGTTTTGTGGATAGAGTTGTCCGCCATCCGTATCTGCCAGTATCTGGACCGCAGATCCAGTTTGGAAAATACCGTAGCTCCCCGAAGCTGGTCAAGCAGGTCATCGATTCGCGGTATCGGATATTTATTCTTGATGGTCTGCTTATTAAGAGCTTGGTAGTCGATGCACATGCGCAGGCTTCCATCCGCTTTCGGTGTGAAGAGTACTGGGGCACCGTACGGTGAAGTGGATGGTCGGATGAGTCCTTTGGCTAGGAGATACTTGATCTATTTTTTCATGTCGGTTAGCTCCATAGGGCTGAGCCGATATGGTGCTCGGAAGGTCGGCTTCGAACCCGGTTCCTCTACGATCTCGTGTTGATGCATTCGGTATGGCGGTAGCTCGTTCAGAAGATCGTCCGGAAGAATGTCTTGGAACTCCTTCAATAATTCCTTGATCTTTCCTGGAGGTTCCGAGGTCTTCTCTCCGTCGTTCTCTACCTCTGTTGCTATCGCCAGGAACCCTATGTCGGTTCGCTTCACGTCCTTCTCGAATCGTGCGAGTGTCTCCACTGGGATATCTCCTGTATCGTCCCAGTTGGGTAGTTGTACTCTCCGTCCATTGTTGTAGATGCTTGCGGTGCGGTTCACCCAGTTGATCTCGGGGTTGAATATCCTTAGGAAGTCTCGCCCGAAGATCAAGTCGAGCCCTTTGATGTTGGTGATGGGGAGTGCAGGTCTCCAGCGCAATGGTCCGATTTGTAGGTATAGCACTGCTTCGCCGTGTACTGGTAACTTGCTGCCGTCCACCATCGTTGCAGAGAATCCTGAAGGCTTGTACTCTTCCCGAAGTCGGTCGATTACTGCCTTGTCGCAGACGGTGTGTGATGCTCCACTGTCCACGAGTGCTTGGAGGCGTCGTCCTTTGCAGATGACCTCGAGCACGAGGGGCAGGCGTTGCTCGGAGTACCCAAAAATTGTTTCATTGATTGGGTCATAGGGTACATCCCAATATTCCGTACACCCCTTTGTGTTGCTATGTACTCTTGAGCTGGCAGCTGGCCAAGGCTGCTTGGAGAATGGCTCTTCTACAGGGCCCGGAGTTTCCTTGACGACTGTGCGCGTCACTGATGTCGAAGAACTGGATGCATCCGGAGGAGGAGTTCGGGGTTTGTGCAGCTTCTTATAGACCCCCAGCTTCCTCTTGAGCTGCTTCAGCTCCACCGACGTCTTGCCTTGGGAATGGGTAGTCGTTGTGGGCTGGTGTCGGGAGAGGACGTTAACTCCGTGGAAAGGTCGGCTTCTTTCCACACTCTTTAATTTTTTCCCCAAGTTGTCCGGTACCGGTATAATCTCCACAGCTGTCTGCTTCTTTTGGAGTCCCTTGCGAAATTTCTCCAAGGCTCTAGCTCCTCGAAAATCATAAGTTTTCATTAAAGCATCATTATAAGATAACTTTAATGAATCCTTATAATTTCTTGGGTCTTCAAGGAGTTTCCCCGTCTCGACAGAGTCTTTTTTTGCGGAGTCGTATTTTTCCTCGGCGATTTTCCCTGGCGAAGACTGATCGTGGGGTGGAGATTTCCCCCCATCATTTCCTCCTTCTCGCGTCGAATCAGGTTCGTCGAAGTTGATTTTCCCGGACTCCCGCGGCCGCTTTCGGATCTCTTTATGTTCGCCAGCTAGATCCGCAATCACTAGCGACTCTCGTTTTTTGGCTTCTGATTGGCCGAAGGATTCCCGCAACTGTTGCGTGCCCGATACTCAGCGCGTGCGGTTTTCATTTTGTTGCAGTCGAAGATTCGATGACTCGGCACCCCGCAAAAATCACACGTGTAGTTGGTGTTTTTCGGACGTGGCCGCCCCTCGAACCTGTCGACTTCCATCGGGTCGGCGAACGTGGGGTGAGCCGAGCGGTCGCCCTGTCGCGTACTGCCGACGTGCGTCCGTCGTGTTCCGGCGTTGACCATGTCCAAGCGCTCCGCTGCCGAAACGACGTCACTGTAGCTCGCTTAGTTTGACGCTGCTACCTGGCGTTTGACTTCGGTCTTCAGCTCGGCGAGGTACGACTACGAACCCCAAATCCTGTAAACTAGTTTCTGTAAAACGGGAACAATTTATTTCACTTGAAAAGTTGTGTTTTGACCCCTGTTCCCCCCCAACTTCTTTAGGTGTCACAAAGATAACTGCTTCGGAGACAACGGGCATTGGCTACTGCTGACGATCACGTTCGTAATCAAGAACAACATCGCGAACATCTTCAGAGTCTGCTTCGCTGAGTGGAATAAACTTGGCAGTTCCAACTGGTGTTGTTGGCACGGTGTCACAGGATCGAATGACTCGAGGATCGATTGCACTATCGATCAGTACAAGGTGCTTTTATACTTCCAGAGTACATCAGGTAACCAGGTTTATCCTATCCAAAGGAATAGACCCTTCTAGAATATAGAATCACCCTGTGTATAGCCACGCGAGGCCATTGGTTTTAAGGGATTACGGCAGGATTACGCTGGATAATGTGCCAGTACATCCCAAGCCTGGTCGGTGATATAATTATAATAGCAGGATCAACCAAAGGATAATAGAAGAATGGAGAATAGGAAACCAAATGAGATGAGATAAAAAGTAGAATGAAGGGAAGGAGATAAGAATAGGACAAGTGGTGTAACGGGGTCGTACTCTCACACACGGGGATGTCTGTGGCAGCTTCGGAGGACTCCGTGACGGATTCATCCTGTACATCGGCTTCGGCCTCGTCGATAGCAAAAGCACGCGAGCCTTCGAACAGCCTGGCAGGTTTGGCAGTTGCTGCCTGGTGAGCACAAAAAAAAGGTAAGGTGAGTCGTTTGTAGCAAAGACAATGATGTGCTGGTACAATTTGACTCGTGCAAAGATCCATAATTTTCCACACGTAAATGTGCTTCTCAATGCCAAGAGTAATTCCCCACTTAGCACGTTATGAAAATTTCCCGAGTGCTGCAGTCGGAGGTCGGTATTGGACGATACATCCAAAAACTCTTAAAAGTTTTGTGTTGCCCACTGTTTTTGTCCACTGCAGGTGTGGCGAAGAAAACTGCGGAAGAACTGCATAGTCCAAAGCGCAAGTAAAAAAATGCGGTGGAAGTGCCGCCTGAGTCTGCAAGACTCGCATCTTCTTCTGTTCATCCGCTCCGCTACCCCCATCTGTTGGTGTTGATGTGGCAGAGACCCTGTGCGCTTGATGCCTAGGGTTTGAAGATACTCGGTGAAAGTTGTGTTCATATACTCCCCAACGCCGTCACTCTGAAACTCTTGAAGCTTTTCGTTTGATTCTCTTTCAGCCACCGCGAGCGACGCGACGAAGATAGAGTGAGCCATATGACAATGGTCAGAGTGGATGCCTAGAGCTCAAAGGGAGTGCGGACACAAGGTGAAGGTGATCCACAATGACAATGGTGGGGAGTTAATTGGAGCTGATTTTGAGGGGGAGCTGAAAAGGAAGGGGATCCAACATCAACTGACAGTGCCCTACAACCCGCAGCAGAATGGCGTGGCTGAGAGGTTCAACAAGACCCTGCAGGAGGGGGCACGCACTCTCCTTAGACGTGCAGGGCTGCCTGATCCGTTTTGAGTGTCTGCACTGAGACAGGTCTTCCTTGTGAAGAACAGGGTGCTGGCTACAGTTGGGGATAAGGAGTGGATCCCATATACCAAGTGGTATGGGAGTGCTCCAGCTGTGAACATGCTGAGGGCATTTGGGTGCATGGTGGTGTTTCATGTGCCTAAGGAGAAAAGGGGGAAGTTGGAGGCTTCTGGAAGATGGGGTGTGCACTTGGGGATTGCAAAGGATCACAAGGGGTGGTTTCTATGGGACTTGACCACCCAGAAGCTGACTGTGTCAAGGGATGTGAAGTTCCTTGAATCCCTGTACTATAAGGAATGGAAGCAGCAGCAACAAAAGCTTCCATCTACACTGCTAATTGTGGAGGCAGATGAGGTGCAGTGGCCTTCAAGATAGGTGGAGGTTGCAGTGTCCGAGGAGATGTCTGGGGTGACTGAGGAAGGGGGAGCAGCTGAGGTGGAGCAGCACCAGCAGCATGAGTCTCCACCTCGAGTTCCACACCCGCCTGAGCGTCCTAGGAGGGATGTGCGCCCTCCTGTGAGGCTGACCTATGGGGGAAGAGGCAAGCCGAATGTGGTGCAGGCTGGGAGTGTGGTTGAGCAGATTGAGCAAATGTCAAATTTGGGGTTCCTTTAGGGAGGGAATCTTTGTGCTTATGGGGTTTCCTTGGTTGGGAACTCTCTTGGGACCTTCCCTCTCATCCCTCTTTCCTTCCAACCTCTTTCTTGCTCCTCTAATTCCTTGTGGGATTCTTGAACCTTGATTGAACTTTTGAGATTGAGTTAAAGCCCGCGTGTCATATTTCCTAAGGTAATACTCTTGGTACTAGGTAACGTAGGTTCTCTTTGTGCGAGGGCTCGCAAGTGAGTGCGAGAGAGATATACAACCTCAGCAAAGCGAACCCGAAGACACGTTCGTAATAACCGAGTTTTCGGAACCTGGGCTGGTGACACGGAATCAGGACCCGAAACGTCTCACGCAACAAAATTTCGGCCCAAAATCCAACACTGGAATCGCAACTATTTGTGAAACTTTGAGAGCCCAACCCCCACCATCCACGCCCTCAACATTCCGTGGGCTCAAACCAAGCGTAATACGGCTCAGCAGAAATATGAGACTCCAAGCCTCGTCAATGTTGGACCCTCAACGATTTTCAAAATTATCGCAACCCTCGCCCACTTACTTTTCAAATTTTCGCCCCTCGCCCCCCAATCAGAACCCTCCACCAAAGGTAAATACCTTTGATCGGAAATATGAGACGCGGGCTTTAAGTTCTTCTCCTACAGCATACCCCCTGTGCGTCGAAAGACACAACGTCGCGAATACTATACGAATAGATGTGATTCAAATTGGGAACGGTAGCTGAGATGAATAACTACAACATATCCGGGTTTCGCGACATTTCAATGGCTAGTTTTTTGTCGACGACGTTTCTTGTGAAGTCGAATTTTCTGTCCAGAATTTCGGATTTATATTTTGAGTAATTCTAGCTCCTAAGCACACCTAGACTTCGTCCTTAATGCTAACATAGAGCGGCTGCAGCTGTTGCATAACTGGAACCATCGATAATCATACCACTAAATGTCGCCGTTACCGATGCTG